TTTATTTAACAGAGAGCGAGAGAGCACAAGCACGGGGAGCGGCAGGCAGAGGGAGAAGCAGACTCTTCACTGAGCAGGGAGCCCGATGTGGGGCTCGATCCCAGGACCCTGGGATCATGACCTGAGCTGAAGGCAGCTGCTTAACGACTGAGCCACCCAGGTGCCCCACGCAGGCACTTTTAAAAAACAATCTGCCTCATAACAACTCACTTAAGGTATTATTATTCCCATTTTATAGGTGGCAAAATTGAGACTGGAAGAAGTTATTTGACTTGCCAGTGATGGCCCAGATAGTATGTGGCAAAGCTGGGATTTAAACCATATCCCCCGGCTCCACAGCCTGAGCTCTTTCCACAAAATGGATCTGGTCCTAGAAAAGAGTAGAAGACTCTCTGAGTGGCTGAGACCTGGAGTTGTTTCCAAATGCCCTTCGAAATCTCCTAGTCCCTGGATCTTATTTATTTATTTTTCTATTGAAATTCTTGGCACAATAGATTCATAAAACTTGATGAACTGGCCACAGTTACCAGTACAGTTGACCTTGTTATCTATCCATCTATCTGGGATGATCTTGCCTTCAAGCTTTTACTGGGTAATGACATCGAGTAGCTCTTCCTTGTGAGCATCTCCCATCACTTGCTTTTCCTCCGTGTCAGGTTTTACTGAACAAATATTGGGCACCTACCAAGTCGTGAGAGGCTTGGTAGGCAAAAGTGAGTATGGCCCATCCTTGCCCTTGAGGAGTTCCCAGCTAATAGCAAAGGTTTCTGAAGGGCCTTCCATAGACAAACCACAGTGAAAGGACTTAGAGAGGGGAGGACCATAAGGATCTTCCCCCATAGAATCTTCTTGGCTTAGGAGGCAGACCGCTCTTAGATAATAAAAGGTGTGAAAGGAGGTGGGAGGAAGCAGAAGTGAATGTAGCAAGTGTGGGTTGGGGGTGGGAGAGCCAACCTTGAGTCTCCTGCGGTGCTGCTTTTAAATCCTATCTTGCTGTGGTCAGTGTGGGATACTGTGTCTCGGAGCCCAGCAGCCTGCAGCTTGGAAGGAGGCCTTTAAATGGGAGAAGGTGCTGGAAAGTACAGAGATGCATAAAGAAGCAAGCTAAATTTATCCTTTCTCCCAGCACCCAGCAATTGCTATGCTTAACACTTGACTTTCTACCAACAGAGACTTGTTTAACGAGATTAGTTGCTTCTCCCTTGGCTTGGAAAAGAGAGAGAAAGAAGGGAGAGACACATTGTAGTGTCTGCCTCTGGCTCAGGTCGTGATCTCCATGATCTCAGGGTCCTGGGATCAAGCCCTGCATCGGGCTTTTTGCTTAGCAAGGAGTCTGCTTCTCTCTCTCCCTCTCCCTCTGTGTTCTCTCTCTCAGATAAATGAAAGAAAGAAAGAAAGAAAGAAAGAAAGAAAGAAAGAAAGAAAGAGAAGGAAGGAAGGAAGGAAAGAAGGAAGGAAGGAAGGAAGGAAGAAAGGAAGGAAGGAAGGAAGGAAGGAAGGAAGGAAGGAAGGAAGGAAAACACAGACAAAGAGAGACAGAGAAAGGGATGGTCGGAAGACAGAGACACAGAGAGAGACCTGAAAAAGAGCAAGGAGAGCTAGGGATAAAGGCAGCCTTTGAGCCCCAGCCCCAGTGAGCAGCAGAAAAGGATGTGAAACTGGGCACCTGAGTGGGAGAAGAGTCAACCTTCTGCCCCTCTCTCCCTACATGATCCTGGCTAGAGCATTGCTAATTTCTAGACAGCACCACTTTCAGATGTGAGTATCCTGGAGACGTCTATACTATTTCTATTGTCTTGCCCACTGCTTTGTCCCTGTCCCCACCCATCACCATTCCTGAAGAGCTGAAAGTGGACTGTATATGGATGATACACAAAAGCCATGATTAAAACAAGCAGTACAAGATGAAATATGCATGCCTTTGACCTAACATTTCCACCTCTAGGAATTCATCCTAAGGACAATAATTAAGGACATAGGGGAAAAAAATTAGCACGAGATTATTCCCTACAGCATTGTTTAGAAAAAGCAAAGAAACAACCCCTACTGGGCACCTGCTCAGCAAATAATGGTACAACCTTACAATAGCTTTCTGTGCTGCTTGTAAATTGGGTTATAAATAGGTACTTATTGATGTGGAAAGACATGATTTATTAGGTTAAAAAAAAACAAAGCCAAGTTACAAAATAATGTATATGGTATGACTTCATGTAAATATTCTAAGTAAGAATACATATAAAATATATAGTCTAGGAAGACATAAGTGAGATGTTGATCTCTGGTTGAAGGGATTCCCTCCAATCCAAAGATTCCACTTTAATTTTTTCTTTTTGCATATTCTGCATTTTATTTATTTATTTATTTAATTTGTTTTATTTGAGACAGAGAGAGAACACAAGCTGGGGGAGACAGACAGAGGGAGAGGAAAAGGGAGAAGCAGACTCCCCGCTGAGCAGGGAGCCCGATGCAGGGCTCGATCCCAGGACCCTGGGACCATGACCTGAGCAGAAGACAGATGCTTAACCGACTGAGCCACCCGGGTGCCCTCATATCTGCATTTTTAAAAATTATTTTTCCCCGAAGGAACATGTATGTCTTGTGCAGTGGGAACAAATTTCCTTCCATCCGTCCCAGCGAGCATCTCCTGTGGGGAGTCCAGGTGTACAGGGGCAAGCTGAACCAGGTGCTCCTGGATCAGAGGCATTGTGGGAAAGGCCACCAACCCATGCAAGGCCACTCAAACTGCCCATTAAGAATTCCAAAAACCGGGGCGCCTGGGTGGCTCAGTCGTTAAGCCCCTGCCTTCGGCTCAGGTCATGATCCCAGGGTCCTGGGATGGAGCCCCACATCTTGCTCCCTGCTTTGCAGGGAGCCTGCTTCTCCTTCTCCCACTCCCCCTGCTTGTGTTCCCCTCTCACTTTCTCTGTCAAATAAATAAATAAAGAATTTAAGAAAAAAAAAAGAATTCCCAAAACATCATGTCCCCCCCTAGTTTGACTCTCCATCCGAGCTGGTCTTGTGGGGCCAGAACTCAGTGACCTAGCCCCTTGGTATCCAAATGCTCAGCTGCTTTGCAACTACATAAGGACGGTGAGTTGGGCATCGCCCTCCCTTGAGGGAAAGTGCAGTCGGTACAAGTTGGCACACGGTAACGCTAAGCTTGCTAAAATCGCAGGGCCTTCCCACCTCCCAGGGTGAAAGCCAAGATGCTCTGTCGCTCAGGTCAGTCCCTACTACACATATGCAGTTGTGATTCTGAATGTTGGTGAGGGAGAGGGGAAAAAAAAAAGGCCGTTACTATGGCAACCCAGGCTCGCTCAGCCTCTGGGATCAGTCCAACACGCAGGGAAAGAAGGTGGGGTTTAGAGTCAGAACAAACAGGGCCGGGCTGTCTGACCTCGGGCGAGGCACTTAGCTTTTCTCTGCCTCGGTTTCTACATCTGTAAAATGATGCTGAAGCCCTTTATCGTACCCGCCTCCAGGATTAATGAGGACTTACCCGTGAACTATAAAACATGGAAGGAGGAGCGCGGCCCCGGCTTTGGTTTGTCTCCAAATTGCTGTGTGTGACTTTGGGCAAATCATTTAACCTCTCCGTGCCTCAGTTGCTCTATTTGTAAATGGGAAAATAATGTCCGCTGTGATGACTTCCCAGGTATATTGTCAGGCACCCGTAAGAATCCTGGAATCTCCACGTTGGAAGGAATCTTCGCACTCAGGCAGGAATCCCTTTGAGAAGTTCTCTGACTGAGGTACTTGTCCCACCTCTGCTTGATTACCTCCAGTGGCAGAGAGCTCACAACCGCTCAGCTTCCCAAATAACCATTGCTACATTACACTAATTGTAAGAAAGTTCTGTATAGGATGTTTTACAGATAAATAGGATGTTTTACAGATAAATATTCATTTTTTAAAAATTAGCAATCTTTTTCAGAGTTATTGCTGCTTCTGATTTCACCGGAGGGCTTGCACAGGGTAGAAATTAGCAGCAATTGGCTAGGAGCAGGTACAGGTCTGGCTCTAGAAGCCTGTGGCTTAGTGTCGTGAAAAGAGTATGGGTTCTGGGGTCACACACTCTAGGTTAAAATCCCACTTTGTTCACTTGCCAGGCAGTTGACCTTGGGCAAGTTATATTATCTCCCCAAGCCTCAGTCCCCTGATCAGTGAAATGAGGCTAGAATGCCTACCTCATAGTGTTGCTGTGAGAATCTGGCATGATAGTAGTTCTCATCGAGCTTACGGCCCTAACTTCCCCAGGGGAATTCTGGGGACTGGGGTGGGGACAGGTTACACCTTCCCCTGCGATCCCTTTAACAACACATCTGCCCTCCAAGCCCCATCTGGCACATGTAGGCCCTCATGTGACCTGGCTGTACTTCTCTCAGAAAGAGGGAGAAGGTTCCTCTCCCAGTCCTGGAAATACCTGCAGCTTGGCCTGGCATGGCTTGTGCTCCATACCTCACAGCCCTCTCTCTCTCTGGCCTGTGCCAGGGGCTCTAAAGGGAAGATGGATGCAATGGTTTCAGGATCACTGCTCCCTGTAAGTCACCTGCCTCAGGGCCATTCCCCCTTCCCTGCCCACAGACTTGGTGGGCACTAAGCAAAGTGTCACAGGGTGTCCCTTGGTGACGGCTTTCAACCATATCCGTGTTTTAGTAGGAATCTCACATGAGGCAAAAAGCCTCCGAGACCCCAAAAGACTGTAGTCTGGTGGTAGATTTCCAGGCAAGTTGGGGAAAGATATTGTGGGGTAGGCCAAGTGGTCCTTTGTGCTCAATATGAAAGGGGTCAGGTTGCTTGGGTCTAGTTCTGCCATCAACGAGCTATGGGCTCTCTGGAGCCAGTGACTTAATTCTGTGCCTTGCTTTCCTCATGTGCAGAATGACAGGTTGATTCCTGAGACCAACCCTGCTTCAGAATTCTAGGGGCTTCCCATCTGTTGGATGCAGGATGAGGTGGCCAGCTGCTGACCTGCCCTCTCCTCTCTGCTTCCTCCACAGATGAGTACCTCAGAGTCCTCAACGTAGGTGTCTCGGAGGTGAAGAAATCCTTCCTGGGGCCCTTGTCACCGTCCTGCAAGATGGTGCAGATGATGCGGCAGTTTCTGTACAGGGTCCTGCCCGAGGACTCCTATAAGGCGGCCACAGGGAAGCTCCACGTGTCCCTCACTCGGTTCACAGATGGAGAGAGTGTCGTGGTTTCAGAGTACACATCCAAGGAAGAGCTCATCGAGGCAAGGGGCAGGACCCAGGGTGCAGGGGCCAGACCAAGGGGCAGGTCCCAGTTTGTGGGAAGAGCCCCCCATTCTGTCCCCTCCCACCCAATGGCTCTTGATAAAAGGACTGAATTATCACCAAATGGGTAATCACATAGGAAAGGTTAAGTGGCATGACCCTCGTCCCATATCTCCACTCCTCTCTCCTCTCCCAAATACAAGGCCCTTCTGCGTAGCCTCACAGCTCCACGCTGGCATGCCATGATCCTGGGGGTGGGGAATGGATGGGCAGTAGGCATGGACACCTCCATAACCTACCTCATGTCCCCCTGGATTTATTAGCACTCAGCTCTTCAAGACTTTTCTCTCCCAACCACCTCTTATCAGCTCCCGCTCTTACTTCTTTTTTTTTTTAATAATTTTTTTATTGTTATGTTAACCACCATACATTACATCATTAGGTTTTGATGCAGTGTTCCATGATTCATTGTTTGTGCATAACACCCAGTGCTCCACGCAGAATATGCCCTCTTTAATACCCATCACCAGGGTAACCCATCCTCCCACCCCCCTCCCCTCTAGAACCCTCAGTTTGTTTTTCAGAGTCCATCGTCTCTAATGGTTCATCTCCCCCTCCAACTTACTCCCCTTCATTCTTCCCCTCCTGCTATCTTCTTCTTCTTCTTTTTTTTCTTAACATATATTGCATTATTTGTTTCAGAAGTACAGATCCGTGATTCATCAGTCTTGTATAATTCACAGTGCTCACCATAGCACATACCTTCCCCAATGTCTATCACCCAGGCACCCCATCCCTCCCAACCCCTCCAATCCAACAACCCTCAGTTTGTTTCTTGAGATTAAGAATTCCTCATATCAGTGAGGTCATATGATACATGTCTTTCTCTGACTTATTTCACTCAGCATAACACCCTCCAGTTCCGTCCACGTCGTTGCAAATGGCAAGATCTCATTCCTTTTGATGGCTGCATAATATTCCATTGTGTATATATACCACATCTTCTTTATCCATTCATCTGTCGATGGACATCTTGGCTCTTTCCACAGTTTGGCTATTGTGGACATTGCTGCTATAAACATTGGGGTGCACGTACCCCTTCGGATCCCTACATTTGTATCTTTGGGGTAAATACCCAGTAGTGCAATTGCTGGATCGTATGGTAGCTCTATTTTCAACTGTTTGAGGAACCTCCATACTGTTTTCCAGAGGGGTTGCACCAGCTTGCATTCCCACCAACAGTGGAGGAGGGTTCCCCTTTCTCCGCATCCCCGCCAACATCTGTCGTTTCCTGACTTGTTCATTTTAGCCATTCTGACTGGTGTGAGGTGGTATCTCATTGAGGTTTTGATTTGGATTTCCCTGATGCCGAGTCCCGCTCTTACTTCTGCAAACCAGAGCAAACCACACACAAAGCAGACCTCTGGATCCTTGCACCTGCTGTGCCTTCTGCCTGGAATGCCCCTCCCTCCTTCCCAGCTCATTTCACCTGCTTGACAAGACTCTAGTCACTCCGCCTGGGAACTTCCCTTCATCATCTGCCTGCCCCGCGCCCTCCCGGTTTGGGTACTCCTCCTTAGAGGCCACGATGCCTATGCTCACCTCCATCCCAGCCCCTGTCACCCTGTGTACTATCACCTACTTGCTTACTCTGCCCTGTTGAGCATTCCCAAGGGTACATATCTCACTCTCCTTTGATCCCAGAGCTCGGTCCTGGCCAAATACACATTAAATGGTTGTTAAGTTCCACTGGATTCATGGAGATATGGTGCCAGAAGGAACCCTGGAGGTCGCTGAGGCTGCCTTGTCTCTTTAAAGCTGGGATATCGGGCCCAGACTACCAAGTAGGTTAACAAGGAACTAGTTCGTTGGGGCCAGGCCAGGACTTGAACTTGGGGCTCCACTCCCCAGGACAGTGCCTCTGCCTTGGATTTAAGAAGGGCCTGGCTGGTGGTGGCCCAGAGGCCTACCGGTGAGCTCTGCCCACCCAGCCGCCAGAGCCTCACACATCTCCACCGGTTCTCTCCCCACAGGCCCTCTACTGCAGCTGCTTTGTCCCCGTGTACTGTGGCCTCATCCCCCCAACTTACCGTGGTGTGGTGAGTGCTTTGGCATGGGAGAGGGTGAGCCAGGACCCGGGAGTGCCCTGTGGTCCACATCTGGGAAAGTAGAGGGGTGGTCTCAGAATTCAGTGGGAAGACCAAGGGTTGGAAAGATTATTGTGTTTTTCTACTTAGAATTCCCAGTATAGATGGATTTCTGGGGCTTTCAGATAAACTTTCCCTCCATACATTGGGCTTCACTCTGGGCCCACCAACCCATTACTGAGCCTGGCTAGTCAAGACCCCATAGGCTTGCTGGATTTTCCCATACTTGACAGAAAGTGTAGAATACGGACCCTGTCACATTGGCACCTGGAACCGTGAATGATGATGGCGACCTTTAAAGTCATCTAGGCTAGTGTACTTGAATCACCAGGGGGGGAGGGGATCTTGTAAAATAATGCAAATTCTGATCCTCTAGGCCCAACCAGCTTCAGCTGACGTCTGAGGCCAGTGCTGCTGGTCCTCAGACCAAGCTCTGAGTAGGAGGATTTACCCATGCCCCTTCCTCATTTTATATAGAAAGAAAATGAGATCCAGAGATCAGGATTCAGCTAGGAGATGGAGCACATACTGTGCATGTCAGCCGTGTACTTCTCAGGCATCCCAGAGAGTTAGAACCTCAGGATCTGTGATCCTTTGTTCACAACTGAGGCAACAGAAGCCACAAGAGGGAAGGGCTATGTGGTGGCTGGTGGCCAGGCCATGGTCAGGGGTGTTCTAGAGAGTGCTGAGGATACCTGACCTCAACAGAGGGAGGCAGTTTGGACCCACAGCAGTCTGGAAGAGGGGATATTTCCCAACCTGCTCAGACCCACCATGTGTTCACCTTCTCAAAAGGCCAAGGGCACAGGCTCCATTCCCCCACCCTGCCCTTGGTAGCTGAGTGGCTGAGGAGGGGTAGCCTGGGAGGGGGAGCTGTGACGGGAGAGCATTTGCTCATGCTTTATCCAGAGTATGAATGGCCCTCTCCCCCCAGGCTCAGCACCATTGAGATGGCTGAAGGGAGACAGGGTGGGGACAGAGCACCGGGCTGGGAGTTCAGGGGCCACCATGGATACACCACTCACCCACCTGGACCTTGGCCTCAAGGCTTGTCCCAAGGGACCCATTTCCCCGGTGGACTCCCTGAGTGGGGAAGAGGACCTCTGACCCCATGAGCATTTACGACTCTGCCTGTCCCTCATAGCGCTACATCGACGGGGGCTTCACAGGCATGCAGCCCTGCTCCTTCTGGACTGATGCCATTACCATCTCCACCTTCAGTGGGCAGCAGGACATCTGCCCCCGGGACTGCCCCGCCATCTTCCACGACTTCCGCATGTTCAACTGCTCCTTCCAGTTCTCCCTGGAGAACATCGCCAGGATGACCCATGCCCTGTTCCCGCCGGACCTGCTCGTGAGAGGAGGGGCCCGGAAGGGAGGGGGACCGGGGGAAGCTGACAGAGCCTGGGGGAGTCACTGGGGTCCATGCAGTTCCGTCTGTGTCTCCTTAAACTTCCTCCTAAACCCGTATCCTGGCCTCGCCGCTAACTAGCTATGTGACCTTGAACGAGGCTGCTAAGTGCTCCCAGTCTCAATTTTCTCCCCTGTAAAATGAGATGATGTCAGAACTGCTGATAGGATGTTACCTGAAATTTCCTACTCTGACATGCAATGTAGGCTTCAGCAAGTATGGCCCATGGGCCAAATCCAGCCAGTGGCTTGTGTTTTGGGTTTTGTTTTCAATTTTATTTATTTTACTTTTTTAAAAAAATATTTTATTTATTTATTAGAGAGAGAGAGAGAGAGCGAGAGCATGAGTGAGGGGGAGGGGCAAAGGGAGAGGGAGAAGCAGACTCCCCACTGAGCAGGCGGCCTGACTCGGAGCTCAATCCCAGCACCCTGAGATCATAACCTTTCCAAAACTGCTCTAAAAAATTAAGTCTACATGTCTTAACAAAATGTGTGTCTTTCTTTGGCAAGAAGTGCGATCCTGGGAGTAGCCGCCAAGTTTTACTGATTGCTTTGACTACACTCACTATGTCTACAGCAGGCATTGCTTATAGAAGGTTCTGAGTAATTGTTTTGAATAACTCCTCTAAGCCAGTTTGTGACTTACAGTCTAATTATTGTTTACAAAACTCATAATCAAAACACTATTATGCTTAGGCAGGCAATGGATACACAAGATATTTTATTAATCTGATCGACTCTTTGTCCTCCAACTGTTGCGTTAGAAATTCCGGTATCTGCCTACACTAATTTATCAGTAAAGATTGTGTCTATTTACCCTCATAAAAGCAATCCACCAATAGGCAGTTCAAGAAAGGTAGAACAAATCTATTGTAGTCATCAGAGCCTCTCAAACTTGACTTTCTGCTCACAATCAGTGCTTGACTTTCATTCTCAAGGTGGCTTGTTTTTATATAGCCTGTGAGCTCAGAATGGGCTCTCCGTTTTTAGAGGTTTATAGAAGTAGAAGAAAGAGAAGGAGAAGAGCAAGAAGGAAAAGAGGAGAAGAAGGGGGGGAAGAAGAAGATGATGAAGAAGGAGGAGAAGGAGGAGAAAAACAAGAAGAAGAAGAACGAGAAGAAGAGACAGACTATCTGTGGCGTTCAAAACCCCAAATATTTACTAGCTGGCCCTTTATGGAAAGGCTTTGTGAGCAATATCTCATGTAACCCTCCAGCATCCTCTGCAGTAGATACTATCATTATTCCCATTTTAGAGGTGAAGAAACTGAGGCCGTGAGAGGTTACAGCCACACAGCCAACAAGTGGCAACACTGGGATTCGAACCCAGTCTCCAAACTCGGCTCTTCATGTGGCCCAAATGCACATTCTCTGGTTCTACTATAAACATCTCACCCGCTCCCGCCCAGGGGAAGCTGATGATCCGCTGTAAATGACTTAACACATTAATGCACCGTCCCTATGGAGACACGATCGGTAACTGCTCCCCACTTCTTAGCAGATAGTGAGGGACGGGACACTGGATGGGTACATTTAGAAAAATCCACCAAATAAAGCTCAAGGGCAATGAAAGGAGCTGCTCTGGGTGAGGGGACCTCGGCTCTCTCCATTGTTGCGGCTTTAGTCATTGTGCTGCTGTCCCCTCCTTGCAGATCCTGCACAACTACTACTACCGAGGGTACGAAGATGCTGTTTCCTACTTGAGGCGGCTGAGTAAGTACGAGGTGGGGCCCCAGGAAGGGGTGGGCTGGGGGCGGGGCTAATGCCGGAAGTGGACGGGCGGAGTGGAGGAGCATTCCCCTCGGATTTGAGAACTGGAGACGCCCTTCCCCGGCAGGGCCAGAATGGCACAAGGACCCGGCAGCTTGCATTGTCCCGGACAGGCCACTGTGGCCAAAAATTAGGATCTCCGTGGAAAAGTGATTTTTAGGGTCACTGCTGGGACAGTGGGTAGGCTTTTGTACAGATACCTTTCTGGATTTAGGACTACGGTTAGGAAACTCATAGCTAATATCTTCCCGGAGAATACCGTTTTCATGTCATTTCACTTTATTCTCTTTCCCCGACAATCGCGTTGTTAACGTAGAACCAGACATGACTAGTTTATATTCGCGTAAGACTCTGAGTGACACTGATCGACAAATGAGAGAGAAGAGCCTGTGCCCTGTGTTGGTTTAGCAAGTGTGGTCCCTACACCTGCACGTCTTCTGCGCATTCTTGCGTGGGAGATTCCCATGGCAGGTATTACCCACGCTACCTCCATGAAGACCATGGCAAACATCCTCGATAAAAGGGAAGGAAAAAAGCTTTTCCATACTTAGAATTGTTTCCATAGAACGTAGTTCCAGAAAAAAGGATTCCTGGACTGGAGGGTGTTTACCTAATGCTGTATGAAGTGGTTTTTTTGTTTCCCATGTTGTCATGTGGTCTTTGTGACTGTCTTTTTTGGCAATTGTGTGATATTCCGTCACAGTTGTACAGAAAACTGTGATCATTCCTTTGAGTTTCCAAATGCTCACTGTTCTAGGCAATGCTATGGTGAACTTTTTGTGTACGTAGTTCAAAAGAAATATATTTTAGGAGTGAGATTTAAGGGATTGAATGTGGGTTTTTCCCTAGGATGTGTTGACTTCTTTTCCTTCCAAGTTGCTTCCTGCGTTCCCAAGCTCCCTTTGTCTTGACTCTTTCCTTTCTCTTGGGGCCATTCTCCAAACAAGGGAGGGGGTGGGCCGGAGAGAAGGATGGAAGGAATGTGGGTTCTGGAGGCAAGTAGGCCTGGGCCAGGATTCTCATCCTCCCTGGCTGTGTGAACTCAGGGAAATCACTTGCCCTCTCTGCCTTGGTTCCTAATCTGTAAAAAGGGTTAAATCCTGGTTCCTGACACCTACTAACTGTGTGATCTTGAGCAGGTAATTCATCTCCTGGGACTTCGGTTTTCTCATCTGTATAATGGGGCTGATCATGGAACCCACCTCAGAATTTTATTCCTAGACACAGTCAGTGCAGCCCGCTGACCCTGTGACCTAGGAGACAGGCCCCCCCCACCTTTCTGTGGGACAGACTCCCCCTAACCCTGACTCTACTCGGACAGCATCCCCCCCTCCTCCTGCACACTGACATGGGTGACAGCTGTGAAGACTAAGATCCAAGTGTCCAAAAGGAGGAACACCTGAGGGGTGTCAGTGGGGGATTGACATGGGGTCTCACCTACGGAGCCTCAGGAAGGGGAGGGACTGGCGAGGATCTGGGGTCCTTTCCACCCCCAGCCGGGAAGCCCCTTCACTCTTTCCTCAGTGATGATGTGTACTGGGGACATAGGGCTGGGGGATCCCCTGATTTGGGACCAGGACTTGGGACCAATTCCATGCCTCAACACCTCAGGTTCCAGCCTGGCTGCCTGGTTGCCACTGTACCTGTCTCTCCCCTAGAACTTCTTTCTCTTCCTCTCAGGGCAAGCCCCGGGGAGAATTACAAAGTGCCTTACTATGGCATCTCTGGTCTCCCCCAATTCTCAGTAGCCCCTCGGCCAGCCTCTGGGAGGAACCCAGCGCTGGCTCGTGCTCCCCCACCCTTCCACCCTTAGCTGATGTGGACGCCTTGGTGTACATGGCGGTCTTAAACCCAAGGGTGAGACTCTAATAGGAGCATTTCAGGCATCCACTAAAGAATCAGGGCAGTGCATGGAGGATGGTGGGCTTTTCCAGGGGCCCTGGAATCACTCCAAGGAGGAACTGACACAACTCATCAGGAAGAAAATGTCTCCTGCTGGCTACCAGCTAGTTTTGATTCCTCGTCCAATTTGCCAGTGTTTGCATGGCTCTCTCAGTGCAGGTTTCTTCAGTCCCACCCCTAAATCCCCTCGGGTTTGATAGGGCTGGATTTTCCTCTCGGCACCAGATGCGAGCAGGAGGTATGACGCATTCCTGAGAAATTGCGGCTGGTGCCCAGAGCCACACTCTTAATTCCCACCTGCCATCTGGGAACAGAAAAATGGGAGTCTGCTCCAGCCTCCCACCCTACTGCTTTCTAGATGGGGGTCAGCTCCGGCAGAAGGCCACACTTGCAAAGTGTCACCCTCAATTCCTCAACTCACATCCTGGAGTCCCCCTTCTCTGCCCTCCTCAGAGCTCACATCTGCCTAATGATTCCAGGCGAGCTTCCCTCTCCACCCTTGGCCTCCCCTGGCAGCAGCCTTCTGCCAAAGGGAAGGGCACTGCTTGTTGGCATGCTTGAAAATCCACATTCCCCACACAGACATGTGGATGTGGGCGTTGAGTGAGGTTGGAGCTCAGAGGATGCCATGTCTAAAATTATCTATCTGGCATCCAGGCGTGCCTGGCCAGGCCTGCCTGCCTTCCTTCTTCCTTTCCTCCCTTCCTCCCTTCCTCCCTCCCTCCCACCCTCCTTCCTTCCTTCCTCCCTTCCTACCTTCCTTTTTCCCTCCCTTCCTTCCTTCTTTTATTCCTTCCTTCCTTCCTTCCCTCTTGGCATTCTTCCTTCTCTTGCACCCTTCCTCCGTCTCACAATTTAAGTTCCCCCTCTCTCTCTCTCACACACACACACACATACACCTGTGAAACCAACACCACAATCAAGAGAGTGAACCATCATCCATCATGCCCAAAGTTTTCCTCATGCTCCTTTGTGACCCTTCCCACCTTTCCCCAGTGCCCCCGATCTACTTTCTGTCGTTATAGAAATTTCCAGTATGGACTTTCAGTATGGGCTCTATTTTGTCTGCATTCTTTCACTCAGTATAATTATGCTGAGATTCATCATGTTATTGCATGTATAAATAGTTCATTCCTTTTTACATTCCATTCCATTTATGAAAACCCCACAGTTCATTTTTCCATTCACCCATTAATGGACATTTAGGTTGTATCCAGTTTGGGCTATTATGAATAAAGCTGCTGTGAATACTCATGGAGTCTTTGTATGAACGTATGTTTTCATTTCTCTTGGGTAAATACCTAGCAGTGGAATGTCTAGATGGTATGGTGGATGTACATTTAATCTATATTTATGTAATATACAATTATATATATGTATAATTAGGGTAAAACACATGACATAAAATTTGCCATCCTAACCATTTTTTAAAGATTTTTTATTTTTAAGTAATCTCTACACCCAACATGGGGCTTGAAGTCACAACCCTGAGATCAAGAGTTGCATGCTCTTCCAACTGAGCTAGCCAGGTGCCCCACCATCTTAACCATTTTTAAGTGTACAGTTCAGTAGTGTTAAGTATATTTACATTGTACAACCAATCTCCAGACCTTTTTCTTCTTGCAAAACTGAAACTCTATACCCATGGATCAGGAATTCCTCATTTCTCTCTCTCCTAGGCCCTGGCTGCCACCACTCTATTTTCTATTTCTAGATGGACTACTTCAGATACCTCATATCAATGGAATCATACAGTATTTGTCTTTTTGTGACTGGTGTATTTCGCTATCGTAACGTCCTCCAGGTTTATCACTATTATTCATAGCATGTGATGTACCCCTGTGTACATACCACATTTTCTTTATTAATGAACAATTTGAATTGCTTCTTCCTCTTGGCCATTGTGAATAATGACACAATGAACCCAGGTATGCAAATATCCTATTTTCAGTTCTTTGGGTTATATACTAAGGACATATACGAAGAAGGTATGTTTAACTTTTATTGTTTTTCGAAGTGGTCGTACCATTTTACATTCCCACCGGCAATGCATGAGAGTTCCAGTTTCTCCCTATTATCACCAACACTTGAAACATGTGAATAGTTGTGTGGTGGTATCTTACTGTGATTTTAATTTGTATTTCCTTAATGACTAATGATGTTGAGCATCTTTTCACTTGCTTATTTGCCATCTATATATCTTCTTTGTTGAAGGGTTCAACTCTTTTGGTCATTTCCCACCTAGACGTATAATAAGCTTTATTTTTAAGAATCGTTTTAGATTTACAGAAAAAAATATGAAAATAGTATGGAGAGCCTCCATGTATTCCACATTCCCTATTATTATGTCTTACATTTGTTAGAAGTTATAGTATGGTACATATAAAATTCGGTATATAGTATAGTATAGTGTTTACAACCAATGTACTAATATTGGTTATTATTAACTGAAGTCTGTATATTCAGATTTCCTTTGGCCATTGGAAGCTTTTTTAGTGGGCTCTTTTACCTGTCTTAAAAATTGAATTGTTTGCTTTCTTATTTAAGAGATTTTATGTATTCGAGATAAATGCCCTTTATCTGAAATATAATTTGAAAATATTTTTTCTCAGTCTGTGATTTCTCTTTTCAATTCCTTAACAGTTTTCTAAAAAGGAGTTTTAAATTTTGATGGGGCCCATATTATTAATTTGCTTTCTTTATGGATCATGCTTTTGGTGTCTTACCTAAGAAACCTTTGCTTTACTCAAGATCAAAAAAGGTTTTCTCCTATGTTTCCTTCTAGAAGTTTTATAGTTTTTTAGTTTTTCATTTGTGTCTATATTCCATTTTGAGTTCATTTTTGAATATGGTTCAAGATATAAAACAAAGTTCTTTTTTTTTTTATGGATGTCCACTTCTACCAGCATTGTTGAAAAAACTATGCTTTCTCTATTAAGTAAAGTCAGTTGTTTCTATATGTTACGGGTCTATTTCTAGGCTTTCTGTTTTGTGCCATTGATCTATTTTTCTGTCTTTAGGTCAATATCATACTGTCTTGATCCCTGAAGCTTTATCGTAAATCTTGATACCAGGTCGTCTTAGTTTTCCATCCTTGTTTTTTTCTTCCTTTCAAAGTTGTTTAGGCTATTCTAGGTCCTTTCTAATTCCATGTGAATTTTAGAATTAGCTTGTGAATTTCTAGACAAAATGCAGTCATCTGTACTTGTCTTAGGAACCTATTCTCTCCTCCTCTGCAATCACCGCCTCGAGACTTCCCCTCTCCCTGATCCCTAGGAGAGGACCTTGCCTCCAAACAACGTCACAGAGAAAAGCAAAACCAACAGAGAGAAGTTCTCTCAACTTTGTGCTACCAAATATACAAACTCAGCCTGCTCTGTCTCCCTCCTTCTTAGAACCTTAAAGGAAGCAACCCTCTTCTTGCCTAAAGCCCACCCCCTACCTGTGCTCAGACCCCTTCCCATCTCAGCACTTTTGAATTATCCATTATTTCATTTCTCTTTTGCATATCCAACCCCCGCCCAAATGTATCCTTACCAGCAACTTGTAGGTCTACCCCAGTCTTGCCTATTTTAGCAACTTGGCCTGGGTTCCCCTCTTCCCCTCTCCTCACTCAGTCCTGGCCCCCTCCTCTTCTCACTCTGCTTTCCCTCCCTAGGCAATCTCCTCCATGGCCACCATCACAGCTTCAGTGACCATCCATAGATGGGCTCCCAAATGGACACCTCTAACCTTCATCTCTTCTCTGAGATCCAAACCCATCTATCCAACTGCTCACTTGTCATCTCTCCTTGGACATCTCTAAGACCCCCTAAAATCCATATATCCCCAAACAAACTATAAACTGTGCCCTCCTCACTGCTCCCCTAACCCATCCCCTCCATGGTCACCCTGTCAGCACCAACATCCACCTGATTGTGCAAGCCAGCTACCTCCTCTCTTCCCCCAGTCGATCCATTGCCAATTCTCATTTATTTTACCTCCTAAACAGAATCTGCTATTTCTTTCTCTCTCCTTCCAGGTGCAAGCCCTAAACACCTCTCCACAGCAGGCTTACAGGTTTCTCTGGGTCCCCTATGCCCTTCTCAGTGAGTCTCCACACAGCAGCCACAGTGATCTTGTTAAAGCCAGAGACAGAGCAGCATTCCCACTGCCAATAGGTCTTTCACGGCCTCTGTGAAAACCAAGGGCCCTCAATGGTGTCTACAAGCATGGTCGGGCCCCTGTGGCCTCCTCAGCCCCATCTCCCACCACAGTGCCCCCACCCTTGCTCCAACCACCCTGACTTTTCAGGCCCTCCTCATGCTCCCTCAAATCTGTGGCATTGGTGTGTGCTGTTCCCTCCCCATCCCACCCCGACCACCCCCTGGACCCTCACTTCCCCTTCAGATCTCAGCTCAAATGTTGCTCCCTCAGGGAAACCCTCCCGAAGTAGTCCTCCCTGCTTCCCTCTCTCCTAACATCATGTTCCTATCTCGCCTACAATGTGTCTTGGTTAAAACGAGATTATTTGGGTAGTCAATGCCTGCCCCCAAGCCAGACTGTAAGCTCCAAGAGGCCAAGAACCATCACACCTGTTTTTGTCCCCTTCACTCCTCATTGCCTGGTATAATGCCTGGCACATATAGATGCTCAATAAATACCTGTTGAATAAATGAATCAATACACAATCAAATACTCAATATAAATTTGAGTAAGTAAAGAAAGATGAGTGAAAAGCACTAATCCTGCTTATGAAAATAATTTGGGAAATCACTTTTGGCAGATGCCATGCTGATACCAGGGGTTAGTAATGCCACCTGTGACTCCATGCTGTTGTTTTCCTAGATGCTGCTTACCTCAATTCTCCCTCCAAGAGAGTGATGTTCCCCCGCGTAGAAGTGTACTGCAATATAGAACTTGCCCTTGGCAATGAGTGCCCTGAACGCAGCCAATCAAGCCTCCAAACGGAGCAGGAAGAATCCATACAACCTCACACACAGTGGGCTCCTGAAGGGGAAGGAAAGTGCAGCCACGGTCCACTTGTGTCCTCACCTGTGCAGACTCCTGAATCCACACGCGAGTGGCCTGTAGAGTCACCTGTTTCACCACCTGTCTCTTCATTTGAGCAGTCACCTGCATCTCCACTGGCCTCATTACCATCACATTCTCCAGTTGACTTGCCCCCTCTATCACTCCCAGCTGTGCCCTTACCACTTAGCTCCACACCTGTGCTGTCACGTGTATCACCACAGCAGCGGGTACAAATGACTGGATCACCGCCAAGATCCCCACCTTCCCAGTCATCTCTGTCACCCAGGCCATCCCCGGGGCCTTCATCTGTAGGAGCAGCTCAAACACTGCCCCAGTGTTCTCCTTCAGCGTCATCTGCACAGCCACCTGTGGAGGAATTGGGCCCAGAACAGCCCCAAGGTATGGACCCTTCTCACTTCTCCCAGCTTCCTTATGTCTGGAGCCCCTCAGCAAGTGTGCCACAACATGGGAGCTCATAACCATCGCTTTATTATTTTTTTGTTATGTTCAGTTAACCAGCATAGAGTACATCATTAGTTTTTGATGTAGTGTTCAACAATTCATTAGTTTCATATAACCATTGCTTTAGAGGGGTGCATTGGTAAAGTTAGCACTTAGCTTTAGCGGTTCTACCTATTTTGAGGATAGGCCACCACAAGGGGACAGTGTTCTTGACATTTGTTCATGTCTTTAGTCCAGTGATTATCAAAGGTTGGTCTCTGACCAACAGCAAACACATCACCTGGGAACTTGTTAGAAATGAGAATTCTCAGACCCTACCATAGACCTCCTAACTCAGGGGGGCAGGACCCAGCTATCTCTCTTTTTTTTTTTTTTTAAGATTTTATTTATCTATTTGTGAGAGAGAGCACGAGCAGGGGGAGCCGCAGGCAGAGGGAGAAGCAGGCTACCAGGCGAGCAGGGAGCCTGACGAGGGGCTCGATCCCAGGACTCTGGGATCATGACCTGAGCCGAAGGCAGACGCTTAACCAACTGAGCCACCCAGGTGTCCCTCTATCTTTTTATAAGCCCTCCAGGGGGTTCTTTTGAGAACCATGATTGAGAACCACTATACCAGAAGGTTTTTATTATTTGTGATAACCACTGTGCCAGGGCAGAACTACTCAAAGAGTGCTCTGTGAACCAAAGCTGGCCCCCAAACTATTTGTTACTAATTTACAATGAAATGAGCACAGAGGTTGAAAGTAAGCATTTAGAAATGTTTATAGCCATGACATCCAAGGGCTTGGTCATTTTCCTACTAATTCATTGTATTGTATTTCACAAAAGTACTAGTCCATTATGGTTTCCAAAAAAATATTTTTAAAAGCTGGTTCTTCACAACTGGCATCTTCTACAGATCTGCTCTAGAGGCTTCAAAGCTAAACAATTCTCAACTCTTCACTCTCAGGAACTCCCCCCTCTAGCAGAGGGGATGACAGAGATACCAACCTCGAAAATACAGCACAAATTATTAAGTACTACATTACTAAGAAAAACAGAGTGTTGGAGGTATTCATAGAGGTTAAGATCACTTCTCTCTAGGGGTTTAAGGAGGGCTTCTTGGAGGTGCACGATTTTGCCACCTCACTCTTGTCTCCTCTGTTTTTACTTTTGACTGTAGCTCCCCTTGCCTCTTCAAATCTGAAAGGCACCATGTCCTTGGTTAATGTGAAGGAAACCACCAGCAAGCCTCAAGCAATGTAAGTTTCTCCTTAATTAGGGACACATTCTTTCCTTTGGCCAGGGGAGGGGGGCCAAGCTAAGGGAAATTTTCCTTCTTTTTAGCTGTCCTAGGAACACTGGGATCCTTTTCCAGTTTGTGTGATTACAGTCCACCCCTTTACACTCCTCTATTCTTCAGTGGGGGCATTGAATGCGAAATGAGCTATTTGTGCTCACAATGTCATTCTCATCAGCTCCTTCCTGTGCACACTAGGGAATGCACCTTCTCTGAGTGCGGTGGGAGAACGTGCACCCCCTGTGTCTCAGTCTCCGGTGGTGTCTCAGTTCAAGAGAGTTAGCAGGCATGTTACATCCTAGCTTGAGGCAGCCGATTTCCTGCATGGTGTGAATTGTGAGACTCTGTCAAAGGCCTCCTTTAGTCCAAATTATTTTCTATCGGCACAATAAGCAGGCTAATATTCCTATGTTATAGATTGTCCCCAGAAAATCTTTTTTATAATGCACATCAGTTGTCTGGGTTGTGTGACATGTTCTCCATTACTTACCTTCACAGTCGTTCTGAGAGGGCCTGGGGGTTGGTTTTGTCTTTTGGGGTTTTTTTTAAGATTTATTTTTATTTATTTTTTAGAGAGAGAGCACATGAGTGCGGGGGTGGGGAGGGGTGGAGGGGTGGAGGGGCAGAAGGAGAGAGAATGAGTCCTAAGCAGACTCCACACTGAGCGCAGAGCCCCACGCAGGGCCCAGTCTCATGACCCTGAGATCACAACCTGAGCTGAAACCAAGAGTCGGAGGCTCAATCGACTGCGCCACCCAGGTGCCCCAGGATTGGTATTTTTTTAGGTTCCTTGGGGACCACATTACCCGGGCTCCCTTGCTGGCTTCTTGCCAGTTGGGTTAGCCAACGGAAGGCACCAGCAGGAGATCAGAAGGTGGGTCAAAGAGTATCTCTCCCCTCCCCAACCTCATCTCTCCTCCCTTGGGGCAGTTCTGGCAGTGGCTGCGGTTCTCCATGGCCACAGCTGCAACTGTTGGGAGAGCAGGTCCTTTTGATGTTCCAACTCCATATCATATCAAATATATTAAAACATACCTGCTTCTCACATTAAGTATAATTTTAATTATAAAACTTTTTGAAAGAGTTTGCATAAATTTAAAAAATTTTGTGCTTGGGCATATACTATGCATTTTGTTCACAGGGTTTAAACTTTATTGCATTGACATATAACTTATAAAAGTTCAGTTGAATTTCAGTTGACTCATTGGCATGGTGTTACTTAGATAAATGGTCATTGATTATAAAACAAATGTTTGCTGTGGAACTCTGGTGTTCAGCCAGAGTTAAAAGCCGTAGGATTTGTGTGTCTGTCTACCTTCTGAGCTGGAGCAGGGCCCTGATAGTGGAGGACACAGGAAAGGTCATTAACTATTTACTTCATCCATTGCCCAGGGGGAACCCTGCTGAAGACTCCAGCTGGATGAGCAAGATGTTCAAGAAGAACAAACAAAAGACAAGTAGCACCAGAAAAGGCTTCCCAAGACATCCACCATCCAAAAAAACAGGCGGCAAAGTGCAGTGAGCATGACTAATGTTTCTCAAGTTCCATGGGGAAGCAAAGCTTTGGAAAGAGTCTGCAGGAAGATCACAAGGGATAGAGGAAGAGTCAGTAAGAGCAGGTGTTAGGAACTGGACTTTGGAGTCGGACCCACCCAACATAAGTTCCCTGCTCTGCCATAAACTTACTCAGTGATCATGCTTAGGACATGTGATCTTTCTAAGCCTCTTTTTCCTGATCTATAAAATAGGGATAATATTGTGAGGGTTTAATGAGTTAAACATGTAAATTGCTTTGCAGAATGCACAACGTGTAATTAGCGCTCAATAATTTAGCAGATATTAGGGTTATATGCAGAGGTTAACTAGGACTTCTCAGCTTCTGAATAGAACCTTATTTAAATACCAAACTAGACAGTTGTGTAACCATGTGACCCTCAACATATAGAGATCCAAACTGTTGCCAACCTACAACTAAAAGCCCTAACTAGTGTAAGCCTGCTTCTTACAGCTTTTTGGTTATATTACCTTGTCATCGGTTCCATCAGTTAACCTTTATTGAGCACCTATGAGTGCCAACCACTCTTCTGGGCTCTAGAGATAGCAAAGATGAATTGAACTCAATCCCTAACTTTTTTTTTTTTAAAGATTTTATGTATTTATTTGAGAGAGAGTGAAAGAGATCACAGAGGGAGAGGAGAAGCAGACTCCCTGCTGAGCAGAGAGCCTGACTCAGGGCTCAATCCCAGGACCCCGAGGTCATGACCTGAGCCAAAGGCAGACGCTTTAACTGACTGAGCCACTCAGGCACCTCTCGATTCCCAACTTTAAGAGTTTACCCCAAAACTGAACTTTAGACCAAAGACAAGAACCAAGTCTTAATTTTTTACTGAACTATAACCTTGTTTTTTAAAGAGACATGCATACACACGTACACACAAATGAAAAATGCCAGCTTCAAACGCAAACCAAGCCAGGAATCATCTACAACGATTTTACGGGATTATCAAAATATCCTCTGAATGGAACAGACCCACACTGCTATCTACTTTGCTTCAAGCCTTCATTGGTCAGGAATATCCCCAAATCATTCTGACATCCTTCTGTGTTGTTCCTGTCCCAGGTGGGGATCCCAGGTGGGCAGAGAGATGTATCAGATAGACGAGGGTCAGAATCTCACCCTAGCAGCCACAGGCCCACTTTGAGGTCTGGGCAAGTAGGTACTTGGTGGGTGGGAGGAAGCAGTATGGTGGGAAGGAGATTCTCAGCTGCTGCAGGAAGTGGGGCAGACACGTGTGTCACTTTCTGGAGGTGCCCATCCTTTAATCCAGTGGGCATTTGGCAGTCCCGTTGGGGATCATGGAATTAGTGAATCCTGGGATTAGTCTTGCTCTGTTCCTTGGTCTCCAGCCCCAAGGCTTCTTTGACTTTTTGAGTGTCTGTATCTCTGTCTCTAGGAGCTCAAGGTCAAGTTTGGTCAGGAGAACATAGGCAGGTCTGCAGTGGGGGTGGGGAAGCTTCCTTGGGGCTGGGAGTGCCATCTGGAAGCCAGGCCCAGACTTGAGTCCCTTCATTCCAGGGCCAGGCCTCCTCCTACACATTGGAGCAGTGGGACCTATGCAATTCAGCCAGAGTCCCTTGGTCGATAAACTTCTAGGAATCAAGGTACTTTATAAAGAAGCAGGCTGTGATAAAAACAAACAAAACAACATTCACAGCTGTGGGAAACACTGTTGTCAGTAGGTCACACATGCCGTCTGCGGTGTTCCTTTATAGAACAGATTACGAAACTGCCTGGAAACAATTTACCAGTTGACGTTCTTAGGCAATTCCATACAAATTCACTGCTCTGAGCTTCAAAGACCAGGGTAGAGGGTAGAAAAGAGAAGCTCAAAAAGGTTAGGCATGGAGGAGGAGTGATCCAGAAAGAGAGGAAATCTGCTCATTTCCTAACAGAGTACAATCACGAGAGACCCCATCACATCCATGGGCTAGTCCTGTGCAACTTCGGGCCCTCAGCTGATATTCTTCTGAATAAAGAGGGGAGAAGCTAGAATAAAAGCTACAGGATGATATATGGCTCAGATGTTATTTAGTGCCCTTTAACTCATCTATTACTTACCCATACACCAATAAATTGTTTGCTACTTAAAAAAAAAAAAAAAAGCTACAGGATAGATGTTCCATACATTAATATCTCTCTCTCTCTCAACATGTTTCTTAAAGATATTTATTTATTTATTTATTTATTTATTTGAGAGAGAGAGAGTACGGGGCGGGGAGGGGCAGCAGAAGAAAGAGAGAATCTCAAGTAGACTCCGTGCTGAGCACGGAGCCTGATGCTGGGCTCGATGCAGGGCTCCATCTCACCACCCTGAGATCATGACCTGAGCCAAAATCAAGAGTCGGACGCTTAACCGACTGAGCCACCCAGGCGCCCCTCCCTCTGTGTGTTTTAAATCAGATGCTCAAATGAATACTCTGATGCTGGTTGTATTAGTCAGTAATTACAGTTTGATGAGGCTACATAACAGCCCCCCCCCTGCATCTCAGTGGATTCCAAAACAGATGTCTCTTTCACTCTTTCAGAGTTCTGCGAGCTGTCTGGGATAGCTCGGCTTGGGCTACAGGTTGGGGTTGAGTGATCTCCCTGTCCCTTTCATTCCAGGACCAGTAGATGTGCCAAATACGCTCTGCCTCTGGAGCATGGCTAGATATATGTGTCAGCCTGGCTTTCCTCTGCTAGCCTCAGCTCTCCTCCCGTAAGAGTTCAGTGGCCATCTGGTTCAGGTTGTATAACTGGCCTCAAAGTGGCAAGACAGATTGAGAAATTCAGGGACTGCCAGAGGCCCCCAAAGGAAAGGGAGGAGGTCCCTCTTGCTAATTGCTACTCAAATCCTCTCAAGGGCTACCAAGTCTGTCAGACTCCTCTGATTTCTACCATTTCTATGGCTAGAGAGCCCCCCTTTGAGTTACTATGGAATTTCCCCCTATGCAAATGCGAATGTAATGAGAATAGCTAAAACTTACCAAGTAGTTATTATGGTCCAAGCATTGTGGCACAGAGGGTAAGCAACATGCCCAAAGTCACACAGTAGGTAGATGGTAGAGCCAGGATCTGAATCCAAGTTGTTTGTCACCAATGTCTCGGTGTCGAGCACCAAGTGATACAGCCTCCCAGGGCAGAAGGAGCCCTGGAGTGAATCGGACATCACAGGGTCTAGTCTACTTTGTCTGATTTTTCAGGGAGAGGCCTGGGGTGCACTTGGAGGTGCACGGGCAGACATGGCAGGGATAGGGCAGGCTGGCTTGGGGGCCATGCTAACAAAGCTGGACTTCACCTGTGGTGCTGGGGAGTCATTACAGGGATTAAACAGAATGACACAGTCGGAGTTGAAAACCACCCAAGAATGAACAGGTCCTCATGCCAGCATTTCTCTGAGGCGGGCTTTGCCAGAGTCTTCCTGCAATTCCCTCGAGGGGGCCAATGACTGCCCAGGGTCACACAGCAGGTGGAAGAGGCCTTGAAACTCGGGGCTTCCCATTTCCCCCTTTTTGTCTCATTTCTCCTCACGTGTGCTTTCTTGGCGTCTCATGTCCAGGTCTGCTCCCTGCCCACTCGACTTCTCTCTGCTCTCCACTTCCAAGACAGTTTGGGTCACCTACAGGCCTCACCCCAGCCGGATCCAGGAATACAGCAGCCCTGAGGTGTGGAGCTGCCCAGGTACCTGCTCTGTTCCCAGATGTTGCGGTGACCTCTGAGCTCCTTCCCCCAGATTCCTTTCTGGCCCCACCCGCCTCTTTCTGGACATAGTCAAGGCCAGCACTAGCCCATATATTGCCTTGTGCGCTAAGAAAACTATATCCTTTCCTGGAGAACTTGATCGCCAGCTGCTCGAAGATTGTGATAATATACTGATTTTGTTAAAACAGTTGACCGCCACCTGCTAGAAATCTGTATGAATGGCATACAAAGCTACCAAACTGTGCAAATAACATACAGAAAACTGTACAAATAATACGCGGCATAAATACATCTGTGAGATGCCTCCCCTGTGTACTGGTGGGTCTCCTTGTGCAGTCTGCAGTCTACACAACTGCACTCAGTGCTCTGGAGGTCACTCTACTTCTTTCCCCTTCCTGAAAAAACAAATATTAATCAGACTTTTGTAAATCGAATAATGTTTCAAACACTCTTTTATCAACTCCTGCTCTGCAAATGGGATTCTCCATTTGAAAAAAAAACAAAAAACCTTGTATAATAAAGCGGGATTTGCTAACTGATTTTTTGATAAAAATTGAGATTTCCAGTGTCCATGCATCAAACTGGCTAGAATGGGGCCTGGCTACTTGCTTGGGGCTGCCCGACACATAAGAAGCCGTGAGGGATGTTCTCAGTGGAAATAAGGGGAGGAAAGTCCTTGATGAGGGACTTAGAAATGATGAATCTCTGTCCTTTTTCTAGGAAGCTGTGAACCAAGAGAGAACTTGAGCTGGAATGGGAGAGAACATGATGACCTCAAAGTAGAGCCTTCTCCCCAAGGCTCTCAGACCCATCCCCCTCACCCTAGGCCTTTTGGGGACCAGGTGTCGCCCACTACCAAGCCTGTTGGTGTGGAGGGTCCTGCTTCTCCTGAGCAAGCACCTCCTTGTCTGAACATCCTCTCAGCTTCTCTGCACTCCTCCAGCCCTTCCCCTACTCTGCTCTGGACAAACAGATGGACACCAACACAGATGGGCTCTGAAAAGCCCACAGCACATCCTGCTCCCGGCTGGCTGGGCTCTGGGCCTTCCTCCCAGCCCCAGCCTGAGTTTGCTTCTTCGAGATAGACTGCATCCATCCTTGGCCCCCCAGGACCTAGTCTTCAGGCCGAACTCTTGGGGGTTGATGCACTTTCCTCTCTGGTGTGGTATCAAGAGACCAAGTTCTTTTGTTTTGTTTTGTTTTTAATTCTCACAGTGGACCAAAGGCTTGATTTGCAACCACTGGACTCCGTCTCAGCTGCTCACCAGAATCTCCTGTGG